CAGTCGAATTGTCATACATAATAAATAAGCCTATCAGCAAAGTGTCAAAAATCTAATACTGTGTGTTATACACACAATGGAAGCAAGAATAGTAATTTACCCTTGATTTGCATGTACAGCTGATAGACACATACAGGGGATATAAACCGGAAACATTAATATTCATCGTGATATTTCAATTACGTTCGGTTCGCCTTCTTCATTTTACGTTCCATTCAATATAATGGCATCTAAGTATTCAATATCGTTTGTGCAAAAACTGTACATGGACGAACTGCAGCCTCCCTTGATCACAAAAATGAGTGTTGTTTTTTCAAGGAATGTGTAGGTCATGTCATGACAGAAAACCCACGTATTGAGGTAGTCATTGGAAACATCAATATAAAACAATTGGTGCCGTCTAGATTCGTAAAAGATTATCAAATATTACAAATATATTTATTCACAAACAATCGAGGGAGTTGTTTCGTTCGTTTCTGGACGATCCGGACCGAGCTCGACACTTGTTCGTCCTTAACTATATAAACACACAACTTTGCATACAACGATCAATCAGATCTCAAGTGCCTTATAAATTATCGGGTGTGACGTATGGAAAATATTTATCGGGTTGTATCACATGTAAGACACATGCTAGATTGAACAACATGATGACAACAAATAAACACACATGTATATCACAATTAGTAAAAAGGCTCCACATTTATTTTTATTTTTAATTTAAGCTTAATGCTAATTATTGTAATTCCTCAGTAAAAATAGCTTACACACTCTCATATTGTAATTGATATTGCCCGTATAATTATAAACCAATGGCGTGTCAAGTCCAATAGTTAAACTTAATTAATCTGCTTGACCCAAGTATTTACATTTCAAGGCGTAGTAAAATTGTTAGTATCCTCTTCTATTTTGCTTAGGTTACAGTTTTGATGTTGGTGGACCATTAGATGTTGATATTCTACAAGAAGAAGATGCTACTCTGCAATGTGTTACCACAGACTTATCTGGTAGTATAGGAAAGTGGTCTAAAGTTGATGAGGCTGATGAGATATTCAATTTACTCAGTCCCGGTGCATATGTTGGCACTGGTCACGATTCTACAAAACACTTTGACTGGAGTGTGGATACTACTGGTACACACCACTATGATTTAAAGATACCCAATATAGATATCAACGATGAAGGATGTTATTTTTGTGGGATTGGAACTGCATACTCAAACAGTATGTCAAACACATGTGGAAATCTCAGAATAATAGGTGAATAATTCCTTGTTATAAACTGTATGTATTCTTTTAATGCCATGTTTACACTGTGCATTTAACTACATTGTCAACTACTGGGACCACTACGTCACAGCATTATTTTAAATACATAATGTAATCGTTGAAAAATAAAATAAAATATTAATGCGAGATAACAGGGATCGGACGTAGATGTTCATTTTAATAATTGCCTGGATTGTGTCCCGTCTATTATTGCCCACGTTCCTGTTTTACCCTGTTCTTTATTTCCTAAATCAAATAACAACGTAAGCTGAAAATACTATAATACATTATTTGGGAATGTATGTATGCTTTGAGTTTTTGCCAAATTAAAACGTTTATCTTGGAGGAATGTACCTTGCTGAGAGAATAAGGAGCATGCCACTAACATGTCATGTCAGTAAGAACATGTCACTGATACCAGTGACCAACAAATTTATGATATGTAGGTGTTTAATGTACTTTTATTTATTTGTTGTCAAATTATAGGTTATATTCAAAACATTAACTAATCCTGTAAAGTAAAGTGACTTACTTGAGTAAGAATTAGATGAATGCTACTGTACGTGTGTTCTTCTTAGTCGATAACAATGACATAATACATTTAGGCAACCCACTTTTTAGTGCAAATAATTAAAGTTTCGTAATATGTGACATACAAAGTGAGAGCGACAATATTGTACGAATGTGAAGCTGCTGCATATCTTGCCTCACGATGTTATAATATAATGAATTTTCGAGCCATAAGAGCCACCAGCGTTGCACATACCGTAAAGTAAATGTAGTGGCATTTAATTTATGTCCATGTTAAAAACGTACTAATAGACTTATAGCCCTCATACATGTTTCGAGACCATGGGGCGAATTACGCTGTTGTATTGAAGGTCTACCGTAACGAGATTCACATCTATTCACATTTTATATTATTGTTTTGTTTCGGAGCATTTATGAAGTTTATGTTTCATACAGTAAACATCTTTGAAACATGCTGAAATAGTATGTTATTTATAGACTATATTAAACGTTTATATATGGAAATATATGAACAAGGGTAAAGCTAACATTGTTGCACTGGATTTTTCTTACCCCGAAATATTTTATAATGAATAAAATGCTGCGATATATATAGATACGGTTTAATGTTGGAACGTATTCACCTAGAGACATCAAATTGTACATTAAATTAGTGAGAAAGCTATACTGAACAGTATTGTACACTAAGGATTATAATAATTACAATGCAAATACAGTGATTGGTCAAGGATACCATTCTCTAAATTAGTAATAAATAAAATCGCATAGATAATACGGACTTCGCACTGCCATAGTATGACGTTAGACATAGAATATATAATCAAATTGCATTAAAGCAATAAACTGTAATCACTGGTAAACTGTGTTTTACTATTTCCGTATTTTTTCAGTGCCACTATTAAGTCGACCAGTCTTAATCAACTATAACCATGGTGACACAGCAATGGTGACAAGGAATGTCATTGCCTCGTTTATTTGTACTATTTCAGGAACGAAACCAGCATCGACTGATGA